GGTGTCTACGAAAAAAAAAACAATAAAAATTTTGTAAATCAAGTATATAGTCATTGAAATTAAAAGAATAGCTGGGATAAACTCTAGACCAGATGTAGTCAAAGAGATAATTAATGAATTGGAAATTAATACTGTAAACATATAGTACCCAGAATCAGCAGAGACATAAAGAAAACATTAGGGCTTCCCTGGTGGCGCAGTGGTTGAGAGTCCACCTGCCGATGCAGGGGACACGGGTTCTTGCCCCGGTCCGGGAAGATCCCACATGCTGCAGAGCGGCTGGGCCTGTGAGCCATGGCCGCTAAGCCTGTGCGTCCGGAGCCTGTGCTCCACAATGGGAGAGGCCACACCAGTGAGAGGCCCGCATACCGAAAAAAAAGAAAACATTAAAGAATTAAGAGATATAGAAAATAAACTAAGATTCTAACCTAAATCTAATAGTACTTCCAGAAAAAGAAGACTGATGAAATGGCATAAAAACATATTTAAAGAACAAAACTGTTGAGAGTTTTCTAGAATGAAAGAAAACATGAGTTCTCCAGTAGGAAGTGAATATGGAGTGCTAAGAAAAATAAACCTACTTCTAGTCATTTAATAGTGAAGTCACAGAACAGCTAGAATAGAAAGGAAAGACATATTACCAACAAGAAATAGTTGTAGAAAACAAACTTACGGTTACCAAGGGGGAAAGAGGGAGGGATAAATTGGGAGACTGGGATTGATATAGACACACTACTATATACAAAACAGATAACTAGTAAGAACCTACTGTATAGCACAGGGAACTCTACTCAATACTGTGTGATGACCTATATGGGAAAAGAATCTAAAAAAGAGTGGATATATGTATATGTATAGCTGATTCACCTTGCTGTACAGCAGAAACTGATACAACACTGTAAATCAACTACACTCCAATAAAAATTAATTTAAAAAAACAACAGGGATAGTTGAGTTCTCGGCAATAATTCTCAGAAGATAATAACTTTGAAATATAAGGGAAATATGTACATACACATATCACTAATACATACAGTACATTAGACCTTAAATGTTCATTACCTTAACTCTCTGGCAGGGCAGGGAGGAAGAAATTGTATCACATACTAGAAAGCAACTGGAATCTTCAGCTCACCTTCCACTCCTCACGCCTTGTCACCAGGATGCAACAGCATGCCCGGCACGTGGGTGTTTACCGAGGAACAGGACCTCACAACATCATGAGGTAACTCATCCTTTCCATGAGTGCTGACAAGTCTTAAACCAACAAGATTCATAATCGTCCTTAAAATGGCTCAAATCATAAAATGAATAACTTAGGAAAGAAGGTTAATCTAAGGTAACAGGGAGGGAGGAAACTATTAAAGTATTTAGTATGAGACATGCAGAGTGAATAATGGTTTTAGGGTACTAACATAACACAAAAAGTGGTTACATGTTACTCTACTAGGGCTTGTTTAAACTTGTTGGAAGGCTTGGTGTTCACGGGATGAGCTTCATGTAGGAGACAGACAGCTTGATATTTGTGCCTAAGAAGCTGGCTGAACCCAGATTCAGAGAGTGCAAGGAAAAAGATACTGAATAGCTCAGCAGAAGAGGCAAAAAATCAGTGAGGTTGAACCAGGGGGGTGGAAAGTCTGTAAGGCACACTGACATTAGAGGACCCCATAAAAATGAATAATGATGAGCTGGCCCCACTGAATCAAATCTGTTAGATTACTGTGCTGTGGTTGAAAGGAAGCTGTCCCCGGAGTCTTTGAGCTGTGTGACTCTTGGGTCATTGAACACACCGGCTTTACCTATGGCATATTACAGTATGAGCCAGATTTTCTCTATGGCTGAAGCCTCCGATTAATGAGGTAGAAGCGTAAAGGATTCAATTAATTCAAAAGAAAGCATTTCTTAAAAGAGCAAAAGGTTTCAGTGTGGTTTGAATCCCTTAGCTTGATGGTAGACTAGGAGGAGTAAGAAGGCCAGCGTGAGGGTCTTGCCTCCCTCTCTGTTCTAACGTCCGGGTAAAGCTGGGCGAGCCACAGATCCTGCTTCTGACCTCTGCATCTGCTCTTCCTTCTGCCTGGAACAACCCCCCACCCCACCCCAGATATGAGCATGGCTAACCTCGCCTCTTTCCGGTCTTTGCTCAGGTGTTACCTTCTCTGTGAGACCTTTCCTGGCCATCCCATCTAAAACGTCAACAGACCCTTTACACACACACTTTCTACACTTCTTCCCTCCCTTTTTCCCTTTAGCGCTTACCACTGCCTAGTACACTACACGTTACTTATTGTCTATCCTCCCTTCTCCCACCAATGTAGAGACTCCACGAAGGCAAAGATTTCTGTCTGTTTTGTTTACTGATATATGCCCCAACACCTACAGCATGTTGGTGCATCTCCAACAGGAGTTCCTCCATAAAAATCTTTTGAATGTGCCAATGAATCTTGCATAAGCCCCATGACAGCTAGCATTCCAGTGTTCGCGAATGCTAAGCTGAAAATCTTTATTTATTGCAATAATTATTGCAATATCTATAACTTATAAATCTAACCACATTCTGTTAACTTAAAACTGAGGTTAAGAACTTCCTCTAAGGTAATTATTGGTTTCATACAAACTATGTACAGTACATCCGCCTTTGCAGAAATATGATCAGACACTCGATCTAGATCAGACAATTTACATTCAACACTCAGATAAGGCATCTGAGCCCTCTGCTGACAACAGAACTAGAAATTGACTGATTAGGGGATATAACACTTTGGCTTTCTAAATACAGCACTGCCTTTTCTCAGAAGAGCTCAAAAATAGACAAAAAAGATTTGAAAAAGATGAGTAAAAACCTTATATATTTCCACTAGAATGTTGATTTCTTTATATATTTTCTCTCCTAAAGTCTAACAAAGAGACACCTGTAAAATGTTACAGGTAAGGTGCTCTCCACTTTCACTTAGGCCCAAATCAAAGAATCCAAATGAAAGATCATGGCTATCTTTATGGAATCACATTCTAAACTCTCGACCTATATGGGTTCCTAGACATCAACCAAGAGACTTTGAAGACTGAGAGGAACCCAGTTGGATATTTTCACAGGTGAATTTCTTGGTTTGTTTCCATAAAACTATACCTAATTCTCTTTTATAATTGTAGATATTTAACTTAGAAAGTTAGGAGGCTCACTGATATCAGAAGAAATTTTATATTACTGGGTGGATTTAGAAACTAGAATAACTTGGGTTTTACTCAGAGCAACAAATGACTATTGTGATAGTATCAATAGCTAAATTTCCACCACTCATTTTCACTAAAAACTACATTCGCTAAACACATAATTTAGTCAAGACTCTCTGCTCCTTGCTTCTAAATGATAGACTACTCTGAGGTTGGCAACCAAGAGTTTTGGGAAACAAGAGGCAAAGATATTGAAATTCAGAGACAAAAATCTGGCTTATAAAATAAAGCTTAAAGAAAGAACGAAATTACCTATAATAGCAAGTAATTAATTATAAAAATAGCAATTAGCTGGAAGAGCAAAAAAGAAACAAAAATATTAACTGTATTTTCACTTATGTAAATCTCTTGAGATTAATTTTCTGTAACCATAGCCCTATTAGTGGTATTTAATTGAACTAATAAAAACTATTAAAAGGCAATGGATTAATACAGATGGTAATTTTTCCTTTTCACTTCAAGGCTGAGTCTTCTCCACTTCGTCCCTTCTAAAATGCATCAAAGCCAAGAAAGAACTATCTACTGAGACTTCAGCTGTCATTAAGCCCTTGCCCTCTTTGAAAATAATACCAGCTCTCTTTAATACCTATAGGAAGCCATCACAGTTACTATTATTTCAAAGAGAGTAGACTTTTTTTAATGATGTAGTAATTGAATTCAGGGCAATAATGTAAATTAGCAGATTTTATACAATATTTCTCTTTTTTCAGAGGGTAGAATAATTGTCCAGACATCTAGAGGAATACTACTTTTCTGTAGAAATGAAATTGTAAACCTTATAACAAATTAACATGAGCAGGTGCTACTCTCAGATTGTCATATGTTCCTGGAAATCATGTGAGTTATAGAAGGTGGGGGAAGTCAAGAAGTCCTAGTCCCCCATAGTGATGGGGGGTGGGGGAGGTCTTTAAGCCTTACATTTCTCCCAGGTTTGCATTTCCATTGGATTACCTGGCTAAATGGTGCTTTTCTGCAAAGGCAACTCCTTGATCTAGGACAGAGGTCTGAAGCACCATGCAGGTGGCAAACTATTCTATGCCATTTTATCTGAAATGTGGCAAATTTAAGATTTAGCCAAGAGATCCATGTCTGGAAGAGCTTGGAAATCTTCTGGTCCAAGGTACATTCTCTTAGGGAGGGGATGAGCATTCTAGAGAAGCATACACACTTGCAGCTGGGTTCTGCGAGCCAGCCTTGACAGGCAGCATGGCGGGGCTTAAAGCCCATTTATGTCATCAGACAGCGACATTTCCAACCGCAATTTGAGTTTTGACCAAGCTGTAATAGGAGGGAATTTGTCCCTGGAGAGAGGGTCAGATGGGTTAATCACTAACATTCCTTCCAACTCTAGGACACAAGAATCTTTGCCTCACTCACTCAATAAACATTTGGGGGGGCTTCCCTGGTGGTGCACTGGCTGAGAGTCCGCCTGCCGACGCAGGGGACACGGGTTCGTGCCCCGGTCCGGGAGGATCCCACATGCCGCGGAGCGGCTGGGCCCGTGAGCCATGGCCGCTGAGCCTGCGCGTCCGGAGCCTGTGCTCCGCAACGGGAGAGGCCACAACAGTGAGAGGCCCGCGTATCGCAAAAAAAAATTAAAAAATAACAAAAACAAAATAAACGTTTGGGAGTCTTTGTGCCAGCACACAAAGTAATTTTCAATAAATATCTTTTTTACACTACAGCCACCATATCTGTGAAGATTCCAACACAGCAGCAATTTTTACTGTAGCACACAGAGGGTAAAAATGATGGCCAAGCCTGTAACTTACATAATGGAACTTGAACTTGCACTCATCTTCGATTTCATCTGCACTGTCTTCATCGGAAACTTCCCCTTCCTCTGCATCATCTCCAAGGTGATAAGGTAACTTCTTGCCCTGAAATGAAACAAAACAGTCAATTTAAAGATGAAAATTCAGCAAGATAGGGGTATGGGAATTAAGAGGTACAAACTACTATGTATAAAGTAAGCTACAAGGATATATTGTACAGCACAGGGAAATACAGCAATTATTTTATAATAACTTTAAATTGAGTCTAATCTACAAAAATATTGAATCACTATGTTATACACCTGAAACTAATATTAGTCAACTATACTTCAGTTAAAAAATAAAATAGGAAATGAAAAATGAAAATTCACAATAGCCAAAAGGTGGAAATAACCCAGTGTCTACCAACAGGTGAATGGATAAACAAAATGTGGTATACACATACACTAAAATGTTATTCAGCTTTTAAAAGTAAGGAAATTCTGACTCATGTTACAACATGGATGAACCTTGAGGACATTAGGCTAAAGGAAATAAGCCCGTCACAAACAACAACTCTTGTATGATTCCACTTACACAAGGTACTCAGAGTAGCCAAATTCATAGAGACAGGAAGTAAAACAGTGGTATCCAGGGGCTGGAGGAAGCGGCTGGTGGGGAAGATGGGAGCTGTTTAATGAGTATGGAGTTTTGGTTTTGCAAGAAAAGAGTTCTGTACATGGCAATGTGAATGTACTTGACACAGCTGAACTGTACACTTAAAAATGGTTAAGATGGTAGGTAAGTTTTATGTATGTTGTATTTTACCACAATTAAAAATAATTTTTAAAAATTGAAAAATGAAAATAGACTGTCATACTGAGTGAAGTAAGTCAGACAGAGAAAGAGAAATACTGTATGATATCAATGCGGAATCTAAAAAGAAACGATACAAATGAACTTATATAAAACAGAAACATCTCATAGACTTAGAGAACAAACTTATGGTTATGGGGATCGGGGAGCAGGGGAAGAGACAGTTAGGGAGTGTGGGATTGACGTGTACACACTAATACACTTAAAATGGATAAGCAACAAGGACCTACTGTATAGCACAGGGAACTCTGCTCATATTATGTAACAACCTAAATGGGAAAAGAATTTGAAAAGGAATAGATACATGTGTATGTATAAATGAATCACTCTGCTGTACACCTGAAACTATCACAACATTGTTAATCAACTATTCTCCAGTATAAAGTAAAAAGGTTTTTTTTTAAAAAAAGAAAAATGAAAATAAAATTTGTTATCTCCTTGCCAATCATTACTTCAGACTGACTTGAAGGCAGATCGCTTGAATTAGGAGCAAAGCAAAGGGAGAAGAGACTTTCAAGAAAAGGCAGTTTTATGACTTCCAATTAAATACAATTAATTAGGGATACTATATTTGCAAGTAAAAATCAGACCAGGCTTCTGTTCGAGAATATATGACTCGTCATAAACAGGCATCACCCCATCCCATGTCCTTAGAGAAGCTTGTTCTCCTGCGCAGGTTAAACGCGCCCTTCTCTCCTGCTGGTTGTGTCCTCTGCACTGACCAGACCTGCTTTTATGGACAATGCAATGACGCTCCTGCCCAGCCAGAACATGCCCCTCACAACCACTCACCAACACACTTTAGGAATCAGGGGCTTTGGGACAACAAGGGGGAATTCTTATAACAAAATGGTAGAAAACCCAAGTTATAGAATTATATGCACATTATGATCTCAATGATATATAAAAATTCAGGGAAAAAAATCTGGCAAGAAATATGGTCAATTATTAGGAGTATGAATCTCTGGGTAACAGCATTATGGGTGATAGTTATTTTCTCCTTTTCTACATTTCCCAATTTATATTCAGAAAAAGTAAAAGTAAATAAAAAGCAGAAGAAGGAGGCATGGCCCAGGATCCTGATAAGGGCTTCCAGGACGGCTAATCGTCTGTATCAGTAAAAGCATCTTACTTGTAAGCAGAAAGGAATATTAATAGGAAATTGAATCACTCCCAGAATCTTGGGGAGCAGAGAGGGCAGAACCAGACTCTGTGGCTAAGGGACCAAGGTCATTGTGGTAGACAGCCTCTAAAATACCCACAACGGTTCCTACCTCTTGGTATTCATGTACTTCTATAATCCCTTCCCCGTGAGTGTGGGCTGGACCTAGTGACCCCATTGAATGAATGGAATACAGCAAAAGCATAAAGATGGGGGAAATTCTTTAAACGTGGAAGGATGTTCATGTGCTTGGCAGCCAAATATAATGATAAATTTCTAAATATCATCCCAGACTACTACCCAGGCTGATCTTCTCTAAACCAGAGCTCCAGTGACTTCTGTTATATATTCCTGCTCTTCACACCATGACTGGCCCACCTTCAGCACTCTGGATCTTCCCCTCATCCACTTCTCCTCCCTCCACAGGGCCACCAGCACAGTCAGATTTTCAGAGGACTCTCCCTCCCAGTTTCCTGTATCTTCCCTGATACCCAAAGCTCTTGACCTAAAGGGCTTGGCAAAGAGATAAATTTAAAGCTGGTTAAATCATTTATGTAATGAAAACAAAATCTATATTAAGAATCCAAACTCTTAGAATTTGAATACTTAAATATTTTCTTCAACTTACAAAAGGATTGTTATAGGTTTAAAAAGGTGGTATTTAATTTGCCTTCATACCCCTATGTAATATACTTCTTATTTGTATGTGCTATCTGCAAAGTGAAAACTACATTCTTTTCCACAGGAATATATGTAGCTATAGATATATAAATATGGCACTAAGCTTCAAATCCCCTTTACTTAAATGTGGCAGTAGGTGGGGAAGCAAGGAGAGAAAGTTGCCATCTAGAGTATTCACAAGGCGCCCTCATTTTCAGTCCTTTCAAAATCCCATTAAAAGATATCAGGTGGCTTCCCTGGTGGCTCAGTGGTTGAGAGTCCGCCTGCCGATGCAGGGGACATGGGTTCGTGCCCCGGTCCGGGAAGATCCCACATGCCGCGGGGTGGCTAGGCCCGTGAGCCATGGCCGCTGAGCCTGCGCGTCCGGAGCCTGTGCTCCGCAACGGGAGAGGCCACAACAGTGAGAGGCCCGCGTACCGCAAAAAAAAAAAAAAAAGATATCAGGGCCATATCTTCTGCCAGCTTTTTCCACATTCATGGTCTTTGAAAGATACCTTATACAGGCAGATAGGAAGAAAAGCAACACCACAGAGCACTGTTTCTTAACGCCTCTTATGAAGAGTGTTACGCCTGAGGAAAATTATAGAATAAACTTAGGTAGAATTTTATGAACTTAACAGTGGTCCAGTGTAAACAAAGAATGACCTAGGAGTCCCCTTCTGATCTACATACTATTTCATGTGGGAGTCACACTCAAGAATGAGATTAATTTCTCCATGGTACATGGAAATATTTCTAGAGACTGGAACCATAGCCATCTCTTAGCTTTTAGCTGCATGGACAGCAGTAACTGCTCTATGACACATCTGTAAAAGTAAAATGCTTGGACCAGATAAGTTTTCTTTCGGTAATGAGCCTATGGAAAATTACTAAGTTCGTTATTATTTTTGTTCAAAAGCAAATTTTTGTTTAATTTTTAGGAGATACATACACACACAGTTGGCCCTCCTTACCCAAGGGTTGGTTGAATCCGCAGATGTGAAGAGCCAACTGTACTAGGCCATTTCATATGAGGGGCTTGAGCATTGTGGATTTGGAACCAATCCTGTGGGTACTGAGGGACTAGTATATATATCTGTGTGTGTGTGTGTGTGTGTGTGTGTGTGTGTGTGTGTGTATACACACAAGGTTGGAAGGTTTGTGTGTTACAGTTATAATAATAAACAACTTGCCCATCTCCAAAGTGGTAAGTAGCCATTCAAATGCTGCCTTTTGGATCACAGATTGCTCTGATGCTAAAGGAACTTCGGAAAATCAGTTCCCTTTTTGTTGTTTCAAATGGGAGTGTGTGGGTCCAGAGATCTAAGAAATCTCCTTAAAGTTTGGAGAAGGTTACTACCAGCAAATGGACTGCAGCTGCTTTGAAACACCCACAGCCCACATTGCTGCCACTCCTTCCAACGAGTGGCTCAGGTCTTCTGGCTTCAATTCATCCTGGTGCCCATTAGCCCTAGGGCATTCTATGCCCAATGATCCAAAGCCCAGTTATGCACAAGGGATTCAATGAGTTCATATCAAATATTCCTTAAGTTCCACTGTCCAAATGAGAAGTATTTCAATCAGATGGACTCATTCTGCATTTAACCTTCTGACGCTTGGCTAAAGACCATTTGGGAACATGGAAACATTTACAAGGCTATAAAGCTGACACTGAGCTTTCTAACCTAGCAATCAGTTTTCACCACAAGAGACTGCGTTAGCAAGACTTCAGGAAAATTGACCTTAACATTATTTCTCACATTATATAATTGGAGCTTTTATTCAAAATGCTTTCACACGTACAAATGCCCAATGACACCCCTTTGATGGATTCAGCCTATAACTCTCATTTAACTGATAGAAAAACAGGTTTTGACCCATTCTAAAGATGAATACTTTACATCTTTCCCATGTGCTGTCCTCTCTTAAAGCCCCAGTTAAAGTCTTGCTATGAAATTACACAATCTGACTTTCCTGTGCCTCCTCTGTGATATTTGGTTTTTGTACACACCCTTTTTAAGTAAAATATAACCCCGTTTGATCATTAATACTCTACTGCTTTTCCTTAGGTTTTTAGTCTCAAAACAATACAACTATCCAAGATGCTTTTAGTCCAAATACACAAAATTAACTGGAATTAAATAAAATCACATCAGCGATCTGAGAACACAATGAGCTGTCTTTCTGGCTATTCCTTGCATTAATAATATTCATTTCAGGTAGTAAGTTTTCTCCCTCAGAAGATCTGTTTATGAAATGCCATTCTATTCACCTACTGCTCCTCTGCCTACACACGAATCCTATGGGGCACAGTGTCTGAACGTGTGCTCCACTTTGAAGTGAGCTCTTCTCACTTACATAACCAAGGCTGACCAACCATGAAGACTTTTTTTGACAGACAGTTATTGGAGCTTGAAATGGCAGAGGAGAATCTGAAAGAAATGATTTTGGATACGGACACATGTAATCCAGGCCTCCCATACACAGACCCCTCTCCAGCGTCAACTACTACAGACTAAAATATTCAGTATTTGATTTACAGTACTGAGGTTCTCACTTCATAAAAACAAATCCCAGAATATGTGGCCAGTCAGTAACAAGCTTTTTCTGAAGGTATGACTATAAATAAGTTGGAACAAGGTGCATGCACAAATCTAGACAACCCTTCATATATTGACTATTATTCTCTTGATAAACCAGTTTTCAGTCCTTAAGGGAGGGAGGGCTTAGCAGGTCATTAGTGCCTTTTATTGCATTCCTGAGGTAATTACCTTCACTAGGATCTTGCCTTTCAAACTTTGAGGGCTTGGAAGCTGCTTGGTCTCTCCTGTGTCTACAGATGACAGGTCGAGTTTGTCTCGGAATATTCCTTTCAGGTACTGAGCAATTTTCCTTTGCTGCTGGACACTGCAGTGATTCTCAATAGACAGTATGACCGGGAACCTGAGAGAACAGCGGTACATTGTAAAGGCGTTGAGCACAGCAACTCACAGGGACTTTTGCAAATTATTCTGTATTCATTATGTTCTTACAAGCCTAGTGACAGTATTTGTGAGAGAGGTGATAATTAAAATGCTTCTAAAATGAAAAAGATGAGAGGTGAATTAAAAAGAAAATTCCTCTGGCCAAATATATTTTACCAGGCATAAGGGGTGAACAAAATACCAATCCATATGAGATGACTTAGTCTCATATTTTGTAGCTCTCTCTCTCCCTCACACACACATGCACACACACAGTACATATATTTTGTCTCTTTTACAAGAAAAAATAAAAGAGAAAATTTTGAGAGATAAGAAACCTAAAGAAAGAAAACTCATAAGGTAATTTTGTCTTGTTTATTCAAAAGTCTAGAAACATCTAGGAGACCACTATCATTAAATGAAGATATTTACTCTAAAAATATATATTCAGCACACAGCTTGAAAATTACTATTGAGGATAAAATAACACAATGGAATTTTGTGTTTTATAGCGTCCTATGTCAGGTATTTCAAAATCATTTGTATAGAATTATATACTAGTCTTTACTTTCAGAAAGGAAAAAAAAAAAGTCAAGCATTCACTCTCCTCCAGCACTCAGGGCTCTGTGCAGAGAATGTGAGACCCCAGTGGAGCGATTAGTACAGACAGCCTTAGGAACCAGCAACAATTCCGTGACCTTACTCCTCTTCTGACTTTGTTTTTTCCTCAGAAAAACAAATTAAGGCTTATTTTCATTTTTTTTCTAGTTTCCATCACATATCTTCTGAAGTACTAGGCAATATATTTTTTTCTGAAATAGACACACCAATATTTAACTTGCCTAATATGTCTATACGGAGAAAAAATTTTATTTATGCGCTTGTATGAGAAGCACAAACTCCACAATACAGGCTGTGACCTCCTGAAATTACATTCTATCCTCATTAGTAAACCTGATGCCAGAGGTAATACGAGAGATGAACCTTTGTGACTGAGGTCGGTTTGGTTACCGGACTATAATCTGTTTGCTCCTGGGTCCTCACATGGTTTTTACCCCAGAGTGTTAGAAAGAAAGAAAAACAGCAGACTAGCAGCCCTGAGTTGTCTGCACAGTCACATCAGGGAGTTCTAGCAATGGATTTTTAAATTATCAATCTGTTTATAAAAAGGCTATCAGTGTCTAATGATGCTTGGTGTATGAAGCAGTGCTTCTCAACAGGGGCTAGGGCGACTGTGTGGCGCTCCTTCCAAAGGGACGTTTGTCAACGTCTGAAGACATTTTTGGTGGTCACAATGCTGGGGATGGGGGCTGCTACTGGTGTTTAGTGAGTAGAAGTCACGAATTTGCTCACCATCCTGCAATGCACAAGACAGTTCCCCATAACAAAGAATTATCTGATCCAAAATGTCAATAGTGCCAAGGTTGAGAAACCCTGGTGTAAATATGCAACTAAGGACTTTCCTGGTGGTCCAGTGGTTAAGACGCTGCCCTTCCACTCACGGGTCGTGGGTTCGATCCCTGGTCAGGGAAGTTCCATGTGTGGTGTGTTGAAGCCAAAAAAAACCCACACATGAAACAAAAAAAACATTTTCAGTTTGGGACTTCCCCGGCAGTCCAGTGGTTAAGACTCTGCACGTCCACTGTAGGGGGTTGAGAGTTCAATCCCTGGTTGGGGAACTAAGATACCACATGCTGGGTGGCACGGCCAGAAAAAAAAAAAAAAAGATGCAACTAGAACTTAAAGCTGCACTTTTAAAATGTGCTAAACAAACTTATTAATTGTTTTAATTTGAAGTGCTTTTCTCCTAAGGATCCCCAGACTTTAAGTAAGCATAGTCAAGTCACCAGAGGGTCCTCCGAAGTACATAGACAGCAGGTCTTCTCAATGCCCTACTTCACATGTTGGAAAATAACGGCAAATCACTTCATCAACTTGGCTAAGATTAGTAGCAATCAGGGTAAAAAGACCCATCAGAATTTAGTACTCGGATTCTTCCATGTGGAAGTCACCACAAACCAAACCTGCTATGCAGCAAGTGTCTCTTATCAGAACAGCATTTTAACTTCATATTTAATTAATAAGAAGACGAAATGTTAGAAATTTTAAAGGTTACTAATGTCTATAAAATTAATTTTATGCAATTGTAATTTTAATTTTCCTTTTTTAATGCAAAAATCATTTCTTGAATGTCTGGTATATTGCAGGCACTGGCTAGGCAATAAAGAATGAATAAGGAGGAGTTCTCTGGTGGCCTCATGGTTAGGATCCTGGGCTTTCACTGCTGGGGCCCAGGTTCAGTGCCTGGCTGGGGAACTGAGATCCTGTAAGACACACATAGCAGCCAAAAAAAAAAGGCGGGGGGGGAATGAAGTTTTATTTTTAATTTCTTTTAAAAATGAATGAATAAGACATAGCCACATATTTTCAAGGAGTTCATGGTCCTAACTACTTAAAAGGAGGCAAGTCACCAACAATTGCAAGAAGGTGCTGTATGATATGATAGAAATATGTTGAGTGCTAAGAACAGCGAAAAGAAGCATTTAAATCAGTTGTAGTATTGGTAAGTTTGCCAGAGGGACAATGCCTAAGCAGTCTTCTAGGATGAGCAAGAATTGGGCAGGTGGAAAAATGGAGATGAGTGTTTCGAACAGAGAGAACGGCACAAGTGAGGGTAGGGTCTGTGAAAGCACTGAGATCCCCAGGGACTCCGGAAGACAGTCAGTGACGGCAGAAGCCCAAGTCTCTGTGGAGCAACAGTGGAAGACAACACTGGAAGAGCAGGAAGAGGCCAGGCCTTGAAGGGCACGGAATGCATGACCATGAACAACAGGGAGTCTTTGAAGGACTTTAAGAATTACAACATCAGGGCTTCCCTGGTGGCGCAGTGGTTGACAGTCCGCCTGCCGATGCAGGGGGACACGGGTTCGTGCCCCGGTCTGGGAAGATCCCACGTGCCGCGGAGCGGCTACGCCCGTGAGCCATGGCCGCTGAGCCTGCGCGTCTGGAGCCTGTGCTCCGCAACGGGAGAGGCCACAACAGTGAGCGGCCCGTGTACCGCAAAAAAAAAAAAAAAAAAAAGAATTACAACATCAGCTTATATTTTCAGAAAGAAACATACTACACCAGCGTGGAGGATAAACCAAAGAGAAATGAAAATGAAGAGAAGGCAGTGGAGTCAAAAGATACTTTAGCAACTAGAATTGAAAAGATTGGCTGAATCGAGAGTGGACTCCCAGTTTCTAGGTAAAGCCATTGGTAAACAGTGCTACCCTCCTAACTAGAAGGAAATGGAGTAAGAGGAAGCTTGGCAGAATGAAATGCTGAGTTCAGTTTGGGGTGGAGGCCCCGTGCTGGTAGGAGTCTTATCCTCGCTCAGTGTTGAGGCTCCCCAAACCTATTATAGTATGCCTGGCTTAGAGTGGGCAACTTTAAATATCTAAGTAAATGTCTGAATAAATAATGAAATTTGTTAATTTTCAGGTACCTATGGGATACTCAGATGAATTTGTAGTAAGAATCTTTCAATATACCTCTGAAACTTAGGGAAAACATTCTGGATATATAATGGGCAAATAACCAAAAAGTAGACCAAGGACAACAACTTAGGAAATAGTGACTATTAAAGGAATGAGGAAATGGACTAGAAGACCGTAGGCTAAAAAAAGAGGTCGAGAAGCAATGGCAGCAATAGAGGAGAGAATGCTATGATAGAGGCCCCCCAAAAGCAAGTATTAAGGAGAAAATTATCACCATTATCAAATGCCAAGGAGGGGTCAAGTAACATAAGGACCCCAGGCACTTCAGTATACATAGGACATCCAGCAAGTCTGGAAACCAAGATATTATTATTTTATTGTATTGCAATATAATCCCAAGAAGCTATTTATTATGTATAGTAACCTGTGTTTCTAAACTTTATAGACACTCTGTACACCCTGGCTTTAGGAATTTTGAGGTCACTCTTTGTAAGAACGTGCTTCAAGGAGGCAACATCTTGAGAGAGAATGGGGTAAGGAATAAAGAAGTGCACAAGAAAGTATGTACATGCGGCCCTTGTTTGTTCAGTGTTTTGTTGGGAAGGAAGGAGAGAACCAGGGCAGGAGAAAGCGAGATGTAGACTCCAGGGAAGTGTGTGGATTGGTGGCCGTGTTACGTCAGGCAGTGCTGCATGTGCCAGCTGAGCCTGGCTCCCAGCTGCTGCTCTACTTACTCGTTCTTCACAAAGGCATGCTTGTTGATGGTCTCCACAACATCTCTGAAGAGGATCTTTGAAGTGAGCGTGTAACCGTGGTGTACGACCGGCTCTCCGTCGGGGCCATCCCAACAGTCAACTGCCAAAAACAGAATGTCACATCAACAACCCAAAGTTTCTGGTGTGTCCTGATAGTTCTGGAAATAGCAGACAAGTATTAAGTTTATTGTTTGAGTTTATACGTATTATGATCATGACAAAGATGACAGACTGAAATGAGTGTTCTGGCATATTTATCAGGATAAGGAATTAGAGATTATAAATGATTTACTGCAAGTAAATCTGCTTATAGTTAACAATGAGGTCATATACACAAGCAGCTTAGCCTTTACCAAGAACTCTCATTAGAAACTGCTCTAAATCCAACCGAGTATGCCTGAGCATAGTGATATTTCTTAACAGGTTGTTTCTCTATTTTACTTCTTCTTATTCAGTTTACTATAGTCTTTCAATGTTTCAATGACCCTCTCAAATCAGTAACAGGGTTTTTCATCATTGTCCTCCTAAACTCATTATGTTTCCATTAGATTTATTTCCATTTGATTAATTCGACAGTAGTTCTAAAATAGCATTGACTTCTTAACTTCGAATCTTCAGGCCCTGCTAAGATTTATGTGCATACGGGCAAATGATTTAATAATTTAAAGTGTTGCTTCCCCATCCATAAAAGGAACACTAAGAACAGGACCTGAATCATAAGTCTGAGTGATTTATAAGTACATGAAAAGTTGATTATAAACCTGCATGGCACACAGTAATCATTATTGTTATTAATACTATTGATACTGTTATGTGTATGGACAACCTCACTGACCCCCAGCTGGAGAAAGACAACAGCTTCCTCACCATCCTCCCCAACTTAGAGTTTGCCTTCCCTTGTTTTACACTTTGCCACCCGACTAATTTCTCAAAACACTGCTTTCTCCATGTCACTACTTTGCTCAAAAGCCTACTCAGTGCATAACATAGCATCCAACACATAGTATGTACTCAATAGGTCTATGTTAAATTTATTAACAAACAACTTACAGCAGCTCCTGCCTGCTTAACCCCAGGGTCCCTATCTCTGGCACTAGAGACTGGCTAGCCATTCAACTAAGCCTGTTTTCTCTCTCGCCCTAGCTCACAGCTAGACTACAGTTCCCAGCCTTCCCTTTCAGCAGGACATGGCCATTGAAATGTGGGCAGAAATGATGTGCACCACTTCCAGGTCTGCTTTATGAAACCCTGCCCTCACAGTTATCCATGCCCTCTCTTCTGCTGTGAGTTTGGAAGTCATGTGCTGAAGATGGCACAGACACAGAAGGAAAGAGCCTGTACCCCTAAATCACTACTTGAAAGAGTCACCCGTTAAGAACAGCTATTTCAGACTTCACATAAGAAATAAACTTCAGTTGTTTTAGGGCACAGAGATTTAGGTTTAACTGTTAAAGAAACTAGTTAATTAATACCTTAGTTCCTGTTTGACAAGTCAAACTTATTTTCTCCTACTTGCAACCTCACAGACTTATTCTTCCAGTTAGGCAAGTTTCCTCACATAAGATCCTACTTCCATGCCTTTGCTTCTTTCATTTAAGGTCAACTGAAATGCCCTCTTTCACTTTGCTTATCTCAATCTCAACCAAGGGTCAAATCCTTGATTAAGGATTTAGATCCTAAACCAGGATCCCCCATAGAATTTTGCCAGCTCTCATGACATTGCCCTTCCTTATGACAGGGTGTCACAAATTCAAATACCAACAAGAACCTAGCAGGTCACATAAATAAATGTAGCAGCCCAACAGGAAATGTGTGTCTAAATGAGGTAACTATTTCTCACTGTCAGTCAATCATTCCAAAGTAGGAATAAGGACCCAGTTACCAGATCTGAGAAAAGTCAAAGGTCTCTTTCCTCTCTCTTTCTGTCTCTCTCTCTAGATAGATGAGAGTTGGGGGGGAGGGTTTCTGTTCCCTAACTAATACAGTTACATATATCAATTAAATACTGCCTATTAAAATATCCTTGGGGGGTGAATGGAAAAAGGAAAAGGAGAAAGTACTTTCAAGGTTAAAACCATAGGAATACTGGAAACAAAGTTTAAGAACAAATATTTTGGGATGCTATCATACAGTGTTATACTGTTCCTTTGGGCCTGTAAATGAGGTCAAACATATAAAGGCATCTTCTCGGGAAAGAGGCTCCATCCCTCTTTTGACATGTGTTTGACATTCTTTAATTTGTCTTTGGATATAAGCGTGAAAAGAATAAACAGATGTTTCAAAAGTATGTAACTTAAACAATATACCCCAATTTCTACCCCATTTTGGAAGAAAAAGGGCTTAGGAGGGTTTCTCATAAATGAGCTAATATATTTTCAAAAAGAATGCAAAGTAGACGAGGCAATGCCACAGCTGACTTGATGATCATGTACACATAAAAATATCTCTTCATAAGAAACTACTTTGGTAATGAAAGAAGGAGCCCTTTTGCTAACATTTATAACACAGGCAGAATATGCATAGTTGAGGATGGTTCTCCTAATGTTCACTTTTTAGGTCTATTTTATCACTTGTCTGTTAAATGAGGATAGCAACATCCCCAAATGGTGCTGCCATCTGAGCGCGTGGCATCCATAGTCAAGTTCAAATGGCCATGAAGAGCTCCTGTAAGAGCTAGTGCTATGATGAGAATGTTGGCAAAGTAGAAATCCTCTAACCAATTTCCTAGCCACAAAATAGCCAGGCCCATTTTTTCAATCAGACCACATGTTAGAAGCCCCCAAAAGCACCCTGACAAACAGCTGGTCAGATCTGAAGGCCAGCTGAGAGACTAACATGACAGCTTTTCATAGTGGAACTCAAAATGTTTCACCCTGATAGTGCTCCCAGAGATAACAGGAAAAGTTGTAAACCGATTACAACAGCAATACAACGTCAGTTCCATAATGAAAGTGAAAATCCCCTGGACAGAACATCCATATTTATAAAGCAACTAGGGCTGATAATCAAGGGAAAGGAAAGGCCGTGTAAAAAATGTCATCAATCTGATTTGCTGGCAAACCCACTTCACCAACAAAAGACTTACTCGTCTTCCCCAAGACACCATATATATCCTGACCGAGGACATTGTTGCAGCTGAACTAATGGAGATGGAAAACACAGTATTATCAAAATAGAAGCTTGAAAGTGGAGAGATTTTTCAGGTCACAATACCATGAAAGAACTGTCCAGAATCATTACTCTCCATCTCTAAGAACTATACTTGGCAAAAGCTGCTTCAGAAAATTATCTGTGGGACCTGAAATTTTTAATCCATGACCTGCTACATTCTATAAATCAGGTTCTTTAACTCCTAGCTGCAGCTGTTTAAGAATAAAAACAACTTCATCCAGAAGCAAGGTAGATAAAGCACCACTGGGTGTATATAGATTGGTGCCTCCAGGTCCAAGCTTGAAGTGTAAACTAAGATCTTCAAATTACAGGGCTGACAGAAATTGTCAGGAGAGCACGAAAAATCACGTTATCGAGTTCTAAAGTCTTCAGGAACATCTAGATATTTAGATGCCAAGCCTAATCACAAGTCAAGCAAATGCCTCCTGTTAAAGCCAACCTCCTCTCTGTGCTGTGCACTGTTCTTCCTAGTCTTCCTTATGTGACCAGATGGCCCTTATTTGATCCCTCGCTTGGGTTGGTCATGTCATTCAATGCGTGTTCTTCCAAAAACCCCAAAGGCTTCCTGGAGAAGCAAAGTGGGGGAGTCAGACAACTTGCGTTCAAATACCAGCTTCCAAGCTTCCTAGCTATGGGACCTTGAGCCACCAACCCTACCCCAAATTGGGGTGCCTTCTTAAGGAGATTATTCCATCTTCCTTAGTGTTGTAAGAATTAAAGAAGGATGTATGGAAAGCACTTAACCAGAACCTAGCCCACAAAAGGGGATGAAATCATGGTGGTTTCCCTGTTCCTTCCCAGTATATTCAAAGCCAAGGTGACAACCATAGTTTCAGACAGGAAACAGAGCAAGTACAAAGTTGACCAAGTCTCCTAGATAAACACAGTATAATGCTTCTTCTCAACAAAACCTTCCAGAAATAGCAGCTTGGCTTTCACTGTCCAGTCACAGATTATTCCAATAGCAAAACTTCAAGCCAAACAACAGAGGAGAAGTTTGCCGATGCAGGCTTGGCGAGGGAGATATTTGAGAGATTGCACGTCCTTTGAAATTATATACAAGCTGTGCGTCTTCTCAGTTTGTGTGAATGTCTGGAGCAAGCAACACCTTTTACACAAGGAGGGCAAAGATCAATAGCTTCTATCACTTTGGTGACTGGCAAAGAGGAAGGAAGAAGGTACAAGGGAAGGCCCATGTTCAATGCCATCTGCTGCACACAATTTCTAAAAGCTACTTTTAAAATTAAAAGATCCCTGAAAAAGCTAAAACTAAAAATTATTTGTGTCTTACTATAAATTATCTTAATCAGATAACTTTCCTTCTTAATAGCCCAAGGAATGCCAGAGAATTAGAGATCTGATTGAGTAAGGAGTTGATCATTAGAACATGGTTAAGCTTGGGTAAGACACTGATTTTGGACAGAGAAATCAAAAAAGAAATGATTGGGCACCTGAAAGACCTGAGAAGCAAAGGAAACAGTACAGGACACAGAAGTAACAAAATTGCAGAACTGCCTGGAGTTGACTTTCACTTCATGGAGTCACCAGAAGTCATTTTCCATATTTGGCCTCCAAGAAAATGTCACCATTTAAAATGATAGGCAACCATCACTCTGAAGCCAGTAAGGGTGTGGGCCCTGGCATCTCTATGCATGACAGACTTGTAAAACTGCTTGAGTGCTGAGTGAGCAAATGGCTGAATAATGGCTGAGAACAGAATGTCACCTCAAGACCTTCTGTTGCTCGAAAGGTTTTCCTTTATGCTTATATTTTATAAGCATCTTCATTATCCAGTTGCTTAAGCTGCTCAATTCTCAGTCACTACTGTCAGTAGGTGTGCTCTGCGTCTACTGCAAAAATGCCATGTCTTAAATCATGCACTTCCAGAGTGCTAAATTGGTAGTGGTCCTAATGGTTCTGTATGCAGACAGTTTTTAATACCTGTCCATTTTCAAAATATGTCAGTTTGCCTTTATAACATTACTACTGCTATGACTGTAACATTGCGTCTGCTACTTTTGTAGCAGGAAATCCTTCAAGCCAGAAACTCTCTGACAAAGAAGCGTTCCTCTACTCACCAGTATTATCTCACTGCCCTACTGCTTTATTCATCTCCCTACACTATTCCACCACCCCAAGAACAACTTGCTACCTACTGCTGACTCCCGTATGCTCCCACCAAAAAGCAATTCCCCTTTGCTCCGTGGAATCTCCATTCCAGTGTAAACAAGCCCCATTTCATCATTAGACTCTCTGGAATTCTTCCTCAACCTCCTTATCTTGGTTAACAACCAGTTTACCTGGGAGGATACTACTTCCTTTCTCCACAGATGCTTTTTTTGTATAAATCACAAAATGAGGATGCTACTTTTAAACAACTGTTGTTCTACATTCATTTTTTAAAAATCCCCCCACTTTTAAACCTCACTTTATCCATCTCTGCCTTCCTGGCATCTTCCAAGTGCCTTTTCCGTAGCATTCTTCTTCTACCTAAGTATGTGGTTTACAGTTTTTAATATCCAATTTTTGATCTTTTAATTTTTTAGCCTTGAATCTCCCTGTCAGCATCCTTTGACTTAAAAGTCCATGTGGGCAATCTACCCAATCACTTACCCTTGACCTCAATGACAACAGCTCCTTGCTTCACTCTAATCATGCTCACCCACCACACGCCCTGCATATAGTCATTACCTCAACTATATCCAAAATCCCACCTTGTGATAATAATTCTCTGTTCTTGTTTACGGTATGCGTGATGCCGACATTCTCAGTATTCCTGTTTCTTTGAGTCTTCTAGTTTCTTAACCTCATTTTGTGGCCCCTTCATTTCCTTTCCTAGTTCATGGACCTACTGTCACTCACTTAAAAGAGCTCTCACCAACATCTTGAAGATATTTTATACGACCTGGAAATCCAGAGGCTTGGATCAATTCTAGAATCTGTCTTCACTGCTCCTATACCTAGTCTGTTGGGAATGGGGTGGGGAGCAGTCTGAGCATGCAGATTTTGTATAACAAAAAGACTGTTCTGTTAAAGACTGTTTTTGAAATTAGCTAGGCCTTCCCCAATTTATCTTGTCAACTCCTTACTCATTATTTGCTGATCTTTTTAAGCCTCCCATCCCCCAGCCAACCTCCACCCACTCTACACTTAGTGGATGGTGTTCTCTCCTACTATCCTGAGAAAAGAGAGGGTAACAGGCATGAACCATTTTAAAATTTTTTGTCCCCTACCCCATCTAAAAGCAAAATGAATGAATCCTCATTTCCCCCTCTTCCAAGTCTCAAGACCTCCCCAACCCTGTATCAAGTCTTCCCCTAATGCAGAAAAATGCCAAGTGACTAGCTCACAGCAGATTATCTACCTGACCTTCCCACTGAAAGGCCACCAAAACTATATAGCAAAAGACACTAATAACCTCCCAGCTGTCAAATGCAACCAGACTGGACACTTAGTCTGTATTTTACTTTTCTATTGCATGGGACATTTTTGACCATTTCATCCCTTAGGTCCAAGTGACTGCTTTGTGTTAGTTGTCTTCGTCAGTTCCCCTTGTTCTTTCTGCTTCGAAAGGTTGGAATGCATAAGTCCTCAGGCCTTGTTCTCTTTGCCACTCCTCTAAGTGATCTTGTCCACTGTGATGTACATTTACACACGAAGGTCTCTGTAAGTGATCTTGTACGCTAACACACAGAAAACTCGGAATTGTGGAATCTTTATCTTTTCTGGATCCTTCTGTTGAGTTCACATATTGTTATTTAATTGACTAATAAAAATGTCCACGTATATATTACAAAGTCACTATAAACTCAACCGATGGAAAGCTGAACTCATTAATGCTCAGTCCCCACAGTAGATGATGGCTGCATCATTCATTCCAGCTCTCCCCCTCAAGCCTTACATCCTTTACTTTGCTCACCAGGTCCTGTAAGTTTACTTCTTTAATATCTGTATAAGCATCTCTCTCACCTAGTCTGTTTTTATGATCCTTCCTTTCAATCATTTCAATAGCCTTCCCACCATTCTCCTTGCTCTAGTTTCACCTCCCTTCCCCCACCACAAACATACATCTTAAAGAAAAATTATCTTCCTACACTGCTGCCCAAGCAATCTTTCTAAACTACAAGTCTGACCGTATCACCCTAGGTATTAAAACAATCCACCGGACCCTCGTTACCGAAGCTAAAGCTGAAATTCCTTATCGCAGCACTCAGAACCCTTTATCGCTGACCCAAGTCTACCTTCCAGGCTGATTTCTCATCATATTTTACGTCGCCCCTCACTTTCTGTATCACCTCTCAACCACGTTTGATTCAACTGGTGGAATTCTCACACCATACTATGATTTTTACCGTCCACCCCTTCCAATGACTGTGAGCGCCTGAAAGACAGAAGCCACGTCTTACATCTGTGTCCTAACCCCCAGGAACCTCCTAGGAATTTAATAAGTGTTGGCTGATTGATAGACCACGAAGTACCTTAAAAATAAATATTTATCCTGAACCATCTTTACCACTGTTTAATCAAAAAAAAAAATCTTTCTAGGAAAAACTTTCACATTCATCACAATTTTTCAGCACCTGAAGGTGTGCCTCCCAAATGCTAGTACACATCTCTCTCCCTGTTTGAAGTGTCAGGAGGAACCGGAGAGGATTATGAGTTAAGAATAACTTTACAGTGAGTGGGAAAATAGTTCTGATTAGCATGAGTGCATTTTGTTAGGTCTCCATTATTTACACTAGACGCGCCTGACTAAAGCACGTGTGCGCCCACACACACTCGCGCTCAAAGCACGCACCTTCCACGCAGCGACAGCCCTCCTGCAGCACCCGTGCATACATGTCCACTTTGGACTGAGACAGGAGCTGGTCCCCGGTCAGGTATGTATTGTGGGAGGAAGCGATGTAGTAGTGGCACAGGGGCTGGTCCATGTCCTGGTACACTTCATGGTGCAGTGGGTTAAATATGTCACAAGCAGGACTACGCATGAAGTTCGTGAAGCCTTTGGAAATGAGAGAGAGTGAAGTACTATAGCTTTGAAGCATATATACTTAACCAACTCTAACAAGGGCAAAAGAGATCAAAGTTTGTTCATACTGATTACCTCATTTACCTTCAGGACAGCCTTTGCAGGGAATACCGGGGCAATGAGAGATGTGCTTCAGATCAAATAGACAGTGTCAAAAACTGAAATATGGCTTTGGGGAGTAGCAGTTTAAATATAACCTACAGAAAAACAGACTTTTTAAGAGTTTTGATTGAGGGAGGGAGGGGGCGTATTGCAAAGCTCTTCAGTAACTGCTGAACTCAAGCTATGATTATTCAGTGTGACCTAATGGGTGGCTCATGCAGTGTTCAAGCCATATTTATCCTAAGTGATATACTGATCAACAGCAACCTGATAGGTTATTAAGTTGATTTGAAAAATAGTATTGTCAGTGCCATAGCTGAGGTAGCAGGTCAGAAGTTAGGCATAGCTTAAAATCAGGGTATGATTATTTGACTATGAAACTGGTTTGGCAAGATGCTACTAATGGCTAGCACATTTGAGAAATGTGAAAAAGTATTTCAAGATTATGTAGAAAACCCTATCAGTTTTTCAAAAACATAGTGCCTGGGTAGGAAAGGCATTCATTAACATATTAACAGATATGTGAATGTCCTACAAGTACCTACATGGAATGACTATTAGGGTAAATTATTTCAAGTCTTCAAGAATCCTGTGGTAAAACTACTGGTAAATATCCTCTGAAACTCTGGAGAATTTCTTCATGCTCATCTTTATGGCCATAACTTAGAAATCAGGTTTAACTCCATCTTTTAAGGCCCCACCAAAGAAAAGATTCATTTATTGGTAAAGAAAGGTCCAAATTAGTTTATCTTCTTTGGTTGTTTTTAAAATAGCTTTTAATTATATAAATATTAAATAATTTCTCTTCGTTTTAATTAGCCTCTATCCCTGGAAGTAAACATACAATATCATACCCCCTTGTCCACACTAAGCCTGTTTGGGAGAATAGGAGGCCAACAATCAAAATTGGTAAGATAAGCCATGGTATCATATGCTCTTGCAGGAAGTGGGATGCCCCAGTAGTTTTTTTATTAAGATTATCTATTCTACCTGGGACCTGTTCTCTTTTGGAGAGCAGCCTACAAATTTCTTTCCCTACATATTTTAAATACATATGACTTATAGATACATGTAGCTATATTCATGTCATATGATTTATACATAATACCATAGGAGCTAGATTCTAAATATATATTCAGAATCTAATATATATAACTGTGGGCAAGTTACTTATTTCTTTTTTCTTTTTTTTAAAAATTTATTCATTCATTCATTTATTTTTGGCTGCATTGGGTCCTCATCGCTGGGTGCGGGCCCTCTCTAGTTGCAGAGAGCGGGGGCCACTCCTCATTGTGGTGCGCGGGCAGCCTCTCCCATTGTGAAGCACGGGCTCCAGGCGCACGGGCCCCAGCAGTTGTGGCACACAGGCTCAGTAGCCGTGGTGCAAGGGCCTAGCCACTCCAGTGCATGTGGGATCCCCCAGACCAGGGCTCCAACCCATGACCCCTGCATTGGCAGCCGGACTCTCAACCACTGCACCAGCAGGGAAGTCCCAAATTACTCAATTTCTTTAAGCCTCACTTTCTTCAATTATAAAATGAGATAGTCATATTAACAAAATTTGTGGTCCCTACAACCTCTCTACCGCTAGCAACTAGGGAAAACAAATTAGTTGCCAACATTTAAAAAAAGAAAACAAAAAAACATGTTTACTTATTTTAGGGCCAAATTTCCCATCATGAGATTATCTGCTTGAAACTATTTCCAAAAATTAACCATTTGAGAAAAGTCAAAATATTTCTTGGCATCTATCATACACAGTGGCATCAAGTTGACTTGCTTGAGTGGAAAATGCTACTGTCCTTGCAAAAGTAAAAGAAACAGCAAAATCATGGCATCTGTTTTGTAGGAAAATATGTGTGTCGTGGGTTTTATTTGAATCATCTGTAATTCCAAGGTTATCTCCCTATTTCTTTTCCCAAAAATTTTGCTAAAATGTAACTTAGCAAACTAAACTGAGAAATGAGAAATTAAGGATATTGGTTATTTTACCTTCTATGCCAAGGACATTTTTTGCCTTATTTTCTTCAGAAACTTCAAATTTTCTTATGACGTCAATACAATAGTCTGTTGTCACATTCGTCATCTAAACAAAACAGAACAATAGTACAGTACCTGCAATTTCATGAGATATGTTCCTCTATGCTAAAAGGGCATACTGATTTTTTTTTAAGCATTCGTGATACAGTGCAAAATGGTTAAATGAGCCATATTTGAGGTTACTAGTGTCATAACTACTTAACCTTTGGAAAATGATCATGATCTCAGTATTCCTTGTATCTTTCAGATTTAATCAGTGAAAACAGTTCTTCAACTACTAGACAAATATTTTCTATGAAGCAACAAGATTAATAAAACCAAGTCAATAATCACTGCAAATGCATTGCCAAGCATCCATTCACTTTAAGCTAGTAGTTATCTGCAAAAGTAATGCTTTCTACACAAACACTGAGGTTTGCTAGTCATAAATTGTATGCAAAAAGAAAATGACTCTCTACCAAAGAAGCGTATGCTAGGTAAATCCACCTGTGTGTTTATAGCTACAGATCCTTCAACCGATTCATGAGAGCAGTCGGCCACGGTGACTCAAGAACGCAAAGGTTAGCAAAAGAAAATAAAAAGGTAGGTGAGAATTCTGGAGTGAGAATTCTTGTATTCAAATCAGCTGGCTCATACTATTAACAGTGTGGTCTTAAATAAGTCACTCACCTTCTCTGTGGCTACCTTATAACGTAGTTGTGGGGATTAAATGGATTAATATTTGTAAGAAAAATGTATGGTACCAAAAAAGCAGTATATGCTAACATTACTGAGTTAGTCTCAAGTTTGCTGCATGTACATTTCCTGCTTAGTATCACTGGGAAAAGCAAACTCTTTGAGAATAATTTCTTTAATACTAATAAAGGATACAATATTTTTATCAAAAATTCATTCAGCCCCAAAATCTCACAATGATATTTAAATATACTAATAAGCACCAGAGAGCAGACAGCAGAAGCAAGAAGAACTAAAATCTTGCAGCTTGTGGAACGAAAACCACATTCACAAAAAGACAGACAAAATGAAAAGGCAGAGGACTATGTACCAGATGAAGGAACAAGATAAAACCCCAGAAAAACAACTAAATGAAATGGAGAAAGGTAATCTTCCAGAAAAAGAATTCAGAATAATGATAGTGAAGATGATCCAGGATACTGGAAAAAGAATGGAGGCAAAGATCGAAAAGATGCAAGACATGTTTAACAAAGACCTAGAAGAATTAAAGAACACCTAAAAGAAGTAAAGAACAAACAGAGATGAACAATACAATAACTGAAATGAAAAATAGAAGGTATTTCTACTTTTTTTTTTTTATTCTAGAAGGAATCAATAGCAGAATAACTGAGGCAGAAAATGGATAAGTGACCTGGAAGACAGAATGGAAGAATTCACTGCCGCGGAAAACAATACAGAAAAATGAACGAAAGGAAATGAAGACAGCCTAAGAGGCCTCTGGGACAACATTAAATGCACCAACATTTATATTATAGGGGTCTGAGAAGGAGAAGAGAGAGAGAAAGAACCTAGAGAAAATATTTGAAATGATTATACTTGAAAACTTCCCTAGCATGGGAAAGGAAATAGCCACCCAAGTCCAGGAAGCACAGAGAGTCCCAGGCAGGATAAACCCAAGGAGAAACACACTGAGACACATAGTAATCAAACTGACAAAAATTAAAGACAAAGAAAAATTATTAAAAGCAACAAGGAAAAAACAACAAATAACATAAAAGGGAACTCCCATAAGGTTAAGAGCTGATTTCTCAGCAGAAACTACAAGCCAGAAGGGAGTGGCACAATATATTTACAGTGATGAAAAGGAAGAAACTACAACCAAGATTACTCTACCCGGCAAGGATCTCATTCAGATTTGATGGAGAAATCAAAAGTTTTACAGACAAGCAAAAGCTAAGAGAATTCAGCACCACCAAACCAGCTCTACAACAAATGCTAAAGGAACTTCTCTAAGTGGGAAACACAAGAGAAGAAAAGAACCTACAAAAAGAAACCCAAAACAATTAAGAAAATGGTAATAGGAACATACATATCAATAATTACCTGAAATGTGAATGGATTAAATGCTCCAACCAAAAGACACAGGCTCGCTGAATGGATACAAAAGCAAGACCCATATATATGCTGTCTACAAGAGACCCACTTCAGACCTAGGGACACACACAGACTGAAAGTGAGGGGATGGAAAAAGATATTCCATGCAAATGGAAATCAAAAGGAAGCTGGAGTAGCAATACTCATAACAGATAAAATAGACTTGAAAATAAAAAATGCTGCAAGAGACAGGAAGGACACTACATAATGATCAAGGGATCAGTCCAAGAAGAAGGTATAACAATTATAAATATATATGCACCCAACATAGGAGCACCTCAATACATAATGCAAATGCTAACAGCTATAAAAGAGGAAATCGACAGTAACAGAATAATAGTGGGGGGCTGTAACACCTCACCTACACCAATGGACAGATCATCCAGACAGAAAATTAATAAGGAAACACAAGCTTTAAATGACACAAGAGACCAGATAGATTTAATTGATATTTATAGCACATTCCATCTGAAAACAGCAGATTACACTTTCTTCTCAAGTGCACATGGAACATTCTTCAGGATATATCACATCTTGGATCATAAATCAAGCCTCAGTAAATTTAAGAAAACTGAAATCACACCAAGCATCCTTTTTGACGACAACACTATGAGATTAGAAATCAATTACAAGGAAAAAAAATAAAAAGGAAAAAATACAAACACATGGAGGATAAACAATACATTACTAAATGACCAAGAGATCACTGAAGAAATCAGAGGAAATCAAAAAGTACCTAGAGACAAATTACAATGAGAACATGACGATCTAAAACCTATGGGATGCAGAAAAAGCAGTGCTAAGAGGGAAGTTTATAGCAATACATTCCTACCTCAAGAAACAAGAAAAATCTCAAATAAACAATCTAAACTTACACCTAAAGAAACCAGAGAAACAACAAACAAAACCGAAAGTTAGTAGAAGAAATCATAAATATCATTGCAGAAATAAATGAAATAGAAAAAAGAAAAACATTGCAAAGATCAATAAAACTAAAAGCTGGTTCTTTCAGAAGATAAACAAAATTGATAAACCTTTAGCCAGACTCATCAAAAAAATGAGGGAGAGGACTCAAATCAATAAAATTAGAAATGAAAAGGAGAAGTTACAGTGGACACCAGAGAAACACAAAGCATCATAAGAGACTACTACAAGCAGCTCTATGCCAATAAAATGGACAACCTGGAAGAAATGCACAAATTCTTAGAAAGGTATATAACCTTCCAAGACTGAACCAGGAAGAAACAGAAAATATGAACAATCCAGTCACAAGTAATGAAATTGGAACTGTGATTAAAAATCTTCCAACAAGGCTTCCCTGGTGGCGCAGTGGTTGAGAGTCACCTATTGATGCTGGGGCCACGGGTTTGTGCTCCGGTCCGGGAAGATCCCACATGCCACGGAGTGGCTGGGCCCGTGAGCCATGGCCGCTGAGCCAGCGTATCCGGAGCCTATGCTCCACAACGGGAGAGGCCACAACACTGAGAGGCCCACATACCGCAAAAAAAAAAAAAAAAAAATCTTCCAACAAACAAAGGCCCAGGACCAGACGGCTTCACAGGGGAATTCTATCAAACATTTAGAGAAGAGCTAACACCCATCCTTCTCAAACTCTTCCAAAAAATTGCAGAGGAAGGAACACTCCCAAACTCATTCTATGAGGCCACCATCACTAAAACCAGACAAAGATACCAAAACCAGACAAAGATACCACAAATAAAGAAAATTATAAACCAATATCACTGATGAATAGATGCAAAAATCTTCAACAAAATACTAGCAAACAGAGCCCAACAACATGTTAAAAGGATCATATACCATGATCAAGTGGGATTTATCCCAGCAATGCAAGGATTCTTCAGTATATGCAAATCAACCAATGCGATACACTATATTAATAAGTTGAAGAATAAAAACCATATGATCATCTCAATAGACACAGGAAAATCTTCTGACAATATTCAACACCGATTTCTGATAAAAACTCTCCAGAAAGTGGGCAGAGAGGGAACCTACCTCAACATAATAAAGGCCATATCCGACAAACCCACAGCAAACACCAATCTCAATGGTGAAAAAATGAAAGCATTTCCTCTAAGATCAGGAACAAGACAAGGATGTCCACTCTTACCACTTTTATTCAACATAGTTTTGGAAGTCCTAGCCACAGCAGTCAGAGAAGAAAAAGAAATAAAAGGAATACAAATTGGAAAAGAAGAAGTAAAATTGTCACTGTTTGCAGATGACATGATACTATACATAGAAAATCCTGAAGATGCCAGCAGAAAACTACTAGAGCTAATCAATGAATTTGGTAAGTTGCAGGATACAAAATCAATGCACAGAAGTCTCTTGCATTCCTATACACTAACAACGAAAGATCAGAAAGAGAAATTAAGGAAACAATCCCATTCACCACTGCAACAAAAAGAATAAAATACCTAGGAATAAACCTACCTAAGGAGGTAAAAGACCTATATGCAGAAAACTATAAGACACTGATGAAAGAAATTAAAGATGACACAAACAGATGGAGAGATATACCACGTTCTTGGATTGGAAGAATCAATATTGTGAAAATGACTATACTACCCAAAGCAATCTACAGATTCAATGCAATCCCTATCAAATTACTAATGGCATTTTTTACAGAACTGGAACAAAAAATCTTAAAATTTGTATGAAGATACAAAGGACCCCAAATAGCCAAAGCAATCTTGTGGGAAAAAAACGGAGCTAGAGGAATGAGACTCCCTGACTTCAGACTATACTACAATATGGTACAAAGCTACAGTAATCAAGACAATGTGGTACTGGCACAAAAACAGAAATATATATCAGTGGAACAGGATAGAAAGCCCAGAGATAAACCCACACACATATGGACAACTAATCTATGACAAAGGAGGCAAGGATATACAATGGAGAAAAGACAGT